ACACATCATAAAGTTAAAAAGATCTTATAATCAAAGGAGCAGCAACGCATGAGCTGTCTTGATAAATTTGTTGTTGCCTGATTCAATATTTTGAATGCATATCAGCTTTCTAGGATATGACTTAACTCAGTGGAGAAATGACCATTCATTTTGTTAACGATACCTTTTACGTTATTCAGTTAATTGTGAAACTTCGAAAGATAACTGAAACATTTCAATATCAACAAACAAACATTACTCAGATTCCTCAGATTCCAAGGATTGGCCAGAAGGCTGCGGTTGATCACCAAGAGGCTGCGGTTGATCGCCAGCAGCAGCGTTTGGTTCAGCCGCAGTGCTGCTTGAAGCGGATTCCTGTTCACCTGCAAAACATTAATAATCGATGAATAATCGACAGTCGACAACGCGAATCATAAAATTATTTATGTATACGCTGCAGTTCAGGGATGGCTGAGCTACCGGTGCGAACTCCTTCGGCCACAACGGTGGCGCTGCTCTGTGATACGCGTTCAGTCGCTACTTCAGTGTCCGCGGATTCGGCTAGGCATGAAAACGGTGGCAAATTCGGTACGATGCTCTCCTCACCATCACTGTACCGACCCACGCTTTCCATGACAACGGGTTCTTCCTCCCATACTTCTAAGTGACTGCTCTGCAGGCCTATGAAAAGGACGTAGTTAAATACGAATAACACAGCCAGGAAGTTAAGAATAGTCCAAAAAGACAAGGAGTGTAGTAAATAAACGTAAAGAATTGTAGCTGGATCATTACATCGAAGGATTCATAGTATGACTAAACATGATATATTCTTGCTAGGTAAACGAATGCTGCCTCTGAAGAATTGTCCACCAATCTGCTGATCGAAACAAACATTTGAAATATAAAAGACAACAACAGAACACAGAAGGCACATAATCTTGAGAAGGAAAGATCATACCCAAAAGCACGAATAGCCAACCGCACTGCTCGAATCAGGTGATTAATTACAGAACAACCTCAACACAAAGAATGCCCTCTCATAAGATAGTAAGCGTATAGCTGATTGTACACGTAATACATAACTACACTGTATGCAATTACATGACTACATAGATACTGACCTATGATTTGCATGAGTCATTTTTTGCAGTAGTACCGGTTAAACAAATAGCAGTCGGTTTTAAATTCAGTTATCACAAAAAGAACCTAAGCACATGCAGATG